TTATTTACATTTACATTTGAAGACTGAAAGGCTTATGGAATGCTTTTTATGATGTTTAGCATGACATTCCTGATACATCTGTGATACCTTCCCAGTAGTAAATTACCTTGGGTATATTTTTATAGTTATTAAATGAAACTTGTGAAGAGGAATGGTAATAACATACAAATGGTCAAACTAAAATACATAGGCACAGTAGAAGAGGTTTATTTTCCACTCACACATGTAATTGAAAAGTTGCTATTTGAACAGAAGGGTTGCAAACACAATATTCATTCAAAATAATTGATTCATGTGTACCTCCAACCATGTGGTAGAATCATCTGCATGTACACTGGTACTTAAGTGAACTATGTTGGCTGTGTATGTTTTTGGGGTTTTTTTGAGTGCTAGTAAACTGTCAGAAATTGTATTACTCCTTTGTAGAACAACATATTTAACATGTTGCTCTTGTTCCTCTCTTTCCTTCGTGCCTTCCCCCAGACTAGCGCTCCGTGCTCCCCTCAGTAGATTGTATCAAGAAGTGGAGACTTTCAGATACAGGGCCATCTCAGACACCTGGCTGACAGTGAACAGAATGGAGCAGTATCGGACTGAATACAGAGGAGCTCTACTCTGGATGAAAGATGTGTCTCAGGAGCTGGATCCAGATCTTTATAAGCAGATGGAAAAGTTCAGGAAGGTATGAAGTTTCCTCTAGTTTCCTAGAAGGGATTGCCTAATGAATGACAATGAAGCATGGTTTTGACTCTTCCAAGGAGGGCATAATTGAGAAGCAGTAAGGATGCCATTTAGCCTAACTTCTTTGTGGGCTGTAAGGGAAGGCATTTTTCAGTAGTATATTCAAGTTCAGCATACATCTTTATAATTTAAATAATATATCTTTTGGAAGAAGGTTATCTAATTTTGAATACTTAGGAGTGATGCCCGAATGACTAATAGAGGAACATATGTCTGCTGTCAGAGGGGGAAGGGAATATTGATTTTTGCAACTAAAAAAACAAAACCAGAAGTGCTCTGCTATCTGCTGCTAAATTTTGAGGGCAGTTAAAGACCAACAATTTCAAAATTCGCTATTGTTGGATGTGTAAATCTGGAATGCAGTTCAGCGTGATGCAGTTCACGCTGATGCAGTTCAGCATGATTCTTTGACAGCTGCTAAACACTAAAGCTGCTAAGGAGGCATTCTCCATAAATAGTTTTCATTCAGTGTCACTCAAGTTTGCCAAAATCCTCCCCTCCCAAAAGACTTGCAAAATCACAAGCCCTAGGTGGTAGGCTGCAATTTTGCTACCAGGTGAAAGTATAGAATTTATTTAGGCTGATCTTATCACAGTTCAGAAATGCACATGAGACCTTCACATTTTCTAGTGGGACCCTAGAGCCGAGTTTGTTAAAAGTCTATAATGTTCACAGTTGACTGTTTATAGATTCTATCAGGAAGACTTAGGATCTTGGGTATAACCAAGTGGCTCATACTTTGAGTAAAGGCAGTAAAAAAATTTACAGAAATTGTGTCATAATTGAAAGCAGAGGTCTAATAACAGAAGCTGTATTAAAGTGTACATGTATATATGTATATGGCTTAGAGATAGGTAATGTATAAAAGAGAAAACCCTGTTAATTGATGGCTTAAGCTGTCTGTAACTGAAAGTGTTTGAAGATAAAATACACATAATTATGGATTTTAGAAGCTTGAATAAACCATCCTAACAGGAAAGGACTGGCATTCATCTAACTATGTCATTTTCTGTAAACCAAAGTGGTGACAATAGCAATTAAGAAAGGGATGGAACAAATAGTACCCCAGTTAGCCATCTAATCTTTATTTAATGCTTCAGTACAGGGTATTCCTGTAAGTCTTGTGGCACCAGACATATATTTTATTATGCCCTATGGGAAATGTTTGTAACGGCAAGTTCTTGCAGGTAAAATAATTGGTATGGTCTTGGCCTCAGCTGATTGCTTATGTACATTGTTTGATTTATTAGGAAAACACTTAAAAATGGAATGTTAGAATTAATAAAGCAATACTGGTAATAATCATAGAAAACTGATTTATAGCTTTCTTGCAAAACAAGTGTTGCGGAAAGCATAAATTATATAAATGACAAAGTAATTAAAATAACATATGGCTTGTGCAGTGAGCTGCTGTAGATAAAAACCTAGATGTGAAATTTTGGACATCTTGAGTTGCTGTGCTTCAGGGTCAGGAAAAAAAAAGCTTTTTTTTAAGTTCTTACAAAATTTAGTAGCAAAAATGTGGAAATACTAAGTATTTTTAAATATTTCTAGGTCTGAAATAAATTCTATTCTGACATAAAAAAATAAAAGTAGATTCTAAAATCCTGTAGCATGACCTCAAATCATTAAAAAAACCAAAGTTGAAAGTTTTCTGAACATTTCTCTTGTCCAGCTTGTTGTCAACTCAAAACCTTTCAGTTCACATTGTAATGCAGGGAACAAAAAGCTGAGTATTTTGTAGCCACCAAAGTAAAGAAATGCCCCTGGTATCCACTTTCCCACATATCCCATCTGTGCAACAGGCATATCAAACTAGCCTTTGAAGATTTCATGCTTGCAGAAAGTAAACTTTTTGGTTTTTAACTGGGAAAAAAATACTGAAAATCCACAAGCATAATGTTCATAGGTAGCTGTTGCTGAGCAAGAGCCAAGTTTCTTTTTAGTGCTTTACATAAATTAATGGTGGATACTGTTCTAAATAATTAATGTATAAGAGTTTTTATTGTCTTTTTTCTATTTTTGCTTGCAGATCTTAATTGTACCATAGTGTGGCAGTGTAATGCTGAGGTTTTAGGGCTTATTTTGGATCTGTAACAATTTAAGAAATCATGCTAGTTTTCTGTTGAGAAAGATGTTATAATTATTAATGTAAGGTTTTGGTTCTTAAATTTACCATTGCTAGAGAGAAGCATTTTGAGCTGGAGCTGCATATTGAGTGGTACACTGCCAAGTAGTTAGTGAAGCTGATCCTGTCAGAGCACTTGAAAGAAAGTTTTCTTCAGACTTCTGATTGTAAAAATCCAAAGTATTACTTTAGTACATGTTTTTTTTTTTTATTTTATTTCTAGTAAACAGTGCTAGTTTAATGATCTTTAATGCACGTAGTGCATCAGCAGTATTTACATCATTTAGTTAAGGGAATGTTTTTCAAGTATGTAGCCTTTTATAACATAAACCTTAATGTATCATTATGTATACAGATATGGTACTTGTTTTTGGAGACCAAAGCTAAATCAATCCAGATGGGGTTTTCATACCTTCCCTCAGAATAGCTCAGGCTAAAAGATCAATAGCTGAGTCAGTATTTTCAGAGCTGATAAAATCTGAGTTAAAACACTGACATTTTTGTAGCTCTCTTTCTAAACAATGAGGTATTTGAAAGAATTTTCTAATGCTGTTCTTAAGGCGTCAGTCTGTGTGGAAGACACAGCAACACTACCCCTTTCAGAGTGTCTCAGAACACTGCAGAGCAGCCTTTTTGCACTGTTGTTTGAGGATAGCTATGCAATTGTAGCTACTTGAGTCAAACTAGGAAAATAGGTATTTACTTTTCCTTGCAGAGTTCTATAAATGCTATGTAACTTTTTTTTTTCCTGTTACCAGTTTTTATTACCAGTCCAGTGCTGTTCTGGTTGTAGAGGTCTTCCATCCCAAGTTCAGGGTTTGAAGTGTTCCTTGAGAGCATCTGAACAGTACTGTGATATATAGAAGAATTTTAATGAGCTAATATCCTTTTACCAAATTCTCCACACTGATCAGGTTTTTAAAGTTCTTAAATCTGGTCTCTTTTATCTGTCTGGAGACTGTACACTCTAACATGAACGATGTTGTAAAAATATAGACCAAATGGCCCAAGTGCTGGTGTACTCATTCCAGCTCTGAAAAAGTTAAGCTTTTCCATGCATTTTCTGAGCAGGAATGCAACAGTGTGTAGGGTAAACTATGAGACCAGGCAACAGCCTTCCACATGCAGCCTACAGGACACAGGACAGAGTGCTGTTCAGTTTTACTGGGCTGTGCTATCTCAGATGCATGTACAATTCAATATAGACTTTATCATCAAACCTGTGCATTTCAGTGCCATCTCTAACAACTAAAGAGTGAGAGCTGAAAAAAATTGTCATGCTGACCTTAAAGCTAACTATGAGAAAATTACATCTGTGGCATAATAGGTTGTTTATTGTGCTACATTGATAAAGCAGACTAATCCCTTCTATATTTGTTTTTTCATTTCCATTGTTCTCATACTCCTCTGCTTCCCCTTCATTCTGAGGCTTGAACCAAATCTGGAGTATCTTTGTAAATAGCAGTGACTATGCTGGGCTCCCTGAGACAGGCTGCACTGCACCTTAGGGCCCCAGCTCTTGGTTTGCACACAGATCTTGAGAACTTGCAAGCTAGAAGATGAATTGTTTGGATACATTTTATCTCCAGTTCTTTCTAGTTATAGTCCTTTATATACTTGAAAAAAACCAAAAAACTAATGGCCTTACATGTAATTTTAAAGATAAATCTATCAAGCAGGAAGGAAAGTTCAACAAGAACTCAAAATGGCATAATAATAACTTAAACTGCTGTTGTTATAAATGTATTAATATAGGGAGTGTCTGACCTGTGCAAGCTTTCCTTGAATATTTTTTTTATTTCTTGAAAGTTAAAACATCTATGGATAGATGGGAAATAATGAAGATAGAAATAAATCTACTGATTAAAAGGTCATAAAGGAAGCACTGCCTATATGTATTCATTGTAAAGGTCTCAGCAAGTATGGCTCAGATACATCTGCTGTGGCCTGTTGGGAAGGTTCAGGATCTACAACTCTGTTCCCCTTCTGTCCCCTTGCCTGTTTCTACTGCTGGGCATGAGGGTGTGATGATAAAGGTGTTGTACCATGCTACAGCATCATTTGCTGCTCACCTGTCCATTAACATCAGCGGCTAACAGCCAGGCAAATGTAAAGACACTGTGGAAATGTCCTGGAGTATGGTTTCAATTTTTTTTTTAATTCTCTGTTACTTCTGAAAACTCTTGGAGAGTTTGGAAAATGCAAAAGCCTAGAAAAGGAGAAAAACCAAATATGAAGCTGAACTTTGAAATAAGAACAGATTTGGCAGTTGCCATCTTTGGGAACTAAATTTCAGTTTCTGGTAAAAATAAAGTGAAAAGGAAATTTGTAGGCATTTAGAAGCTAGCAAACTGAAGAGCAAATAAAAACGTAGGTTTATAAATAACATCACATATTGGTGTTTTTTATATTCTTGCATTTTTAGTTAAATTGTTCTTTTACTGGAAAACAAATTGCAAATCTGTATTGTTTCAGTTTCTTATGAGTGATTACTGGAAAAGTGAATTTAATTTTGCTAGAAAAATAAGAGCTCTCAGGAGCTGTGAGTTGAGAACATTGACCAAGGAACACTAAACAAAGTTTCAGAGGATCATAGAATTTAAAGACGGAAACCAACTTAAAGATCAACTAAACTCTCTTCCTGCCAGGACAAAATCTGTACATCTGCAAAATATTTTCCTAGTGTTTTTCTATATCTAATAAAACAATTAATTTGAGGGTGACCCTCTTAGAAGTTTTGTGGTGCTGTTTGTTGGTCATGTTCTAGTTCAATTATTAAAAGCCAACCAAGAGAAAATATGCTAATACTATTT